GGACTGTGGACTGGACTACTACTAATTGACCCGTCACGGCCGAAGCCACAGGGCAGCCATCTTGCATTGCCAATAACAATTTCTATTTCCTGCTGAAAACACGTGACATGCGTATTTTACGCTAGGATCCCTGTATGGAGTCATGATTTTTCAGTCGCACTCAGAGATATACTTTTAAAGCAAATGTTTCTCGGATTCTTTCCGATGAAATCTGCGTGTAATGTTGTGCCCGACAGAATGGTACAGGTGCGTTTAGCAACTGGCAACGTAAGATGGCCGTCAGTGGCCTCCGCTCGCGACGGCATTAATTTAACACTAATATGTATCATAACAGCCTTCGATAAAATGTAAAATAGAAAATAACCAGGAAGAAAACCCGGACCCCGGTTTGTTATAAGCAGCGGGCAACCGACTCCAAACACGAAGAAAAGAGGCTAAACCAACGAAGTGCACGTACTCACGCGAGAAGACAGCGTGGCGTAATTTCGCTCAAGTCAATGACTAGTCGCTTCACTACAACTCTTTCAATCTAAGCGTGTCCAAGTAAAAGAATTCCAAATCTTTGACGTACGATAGCGCCAGTGTCCGACCCTCGGCATCAGAGGCAAGTAAAATACTGTATAAATGAACTGTGGCAAGTAGGCTTATTGTATGAACATTGAATGACGGTTAATGCAACTTCACACGATACTGCTTTGGGGTAGCTAGCTTAGAAGGCCAAGATGCTTTTACAATATTCTGGTGGTGGAGCACTTTGCACATGACACTGCATTGCCATGTACACCAAAACAGTTAATTGCTTTTCTTATTTAAAACGGGTAAAACAAACAATTATCAATAATGGCTGATATGAAATACTTCTTACTACTTCCTATTGTGAAACATGTTCCAGCCACGTGTCGCCCAGATTTACCAAGCACATTTTGTTTATTTGGGTTTTTCATAGTTGTGTTGACCTCTTATTAAAGTTTCAGTATTCCAAAGTTGGGAGGTAACTGGTGAAACGTGCCATCGTGAGTGGCTCATGGTTCGGCCTCACGACCTACATACAGCACAAGAGTGTGTTTGTGTCTGACGGTGAGATGAACACGTGTCGACCTTCACACGCGTGGGCACCATCCAATTCATCCAAGCACGAACCCAAGGAGGCGTTGATTCGCAGCAGCTGCTCAAAACGGATCAGCGGGCTCACCGCCGACAACGTCCGAAGCATGACTTCTACCAGCCTTCTTTCTGCCCATTAGTGTCGACCTTGCAAATTGGCAGCTAGCGTGCCGACATTAGCGTGGGAAAAGAGGTGACCTGGCCCCTTGGCGGCCCCCTCTGGCAGCCAGAGGAGTTTGTTACTCAATGAGTGCACCTGTGTTATGGAAAGGGGGAAAAAAACAGGATCTAAACGGCCAATAACATCCTCTGAAGACACTTGTCACAAACATGCACACCCGCAATAAAAACAACAATACACGTGTACTTAAAAATAAATGCACGGTCGTGCACACACAGAATTCCCATCCATTCATCGTTTTCATCACTTCCTGCTTCCTTCCGTCACATAAATAGTCATCAACAACAGCAAAAGAACTGAATCAGCCTCTTGTAATTGACTTTTGGGAAGTTTTCAAGGGCAGGAAATTCCCCTAAAAATGTTTTTTTTTTTTTTAGATTCCGGAAAACTCCGGAAATTTTGTTCCTGGCAGTGCAGCGGGCGAACGTCTACTGTCACACAGACACATTCGTTCATTTAGCTGCCAACCTTAGCATGCGTAATCAATGAGCCGCAAATGTTAGCATGAAGCGGTGGTGAGTTTGATTAACCCTGTTGTATGTATCTTCCGTTGCCCCCTAGGCCGGAATTCTGCATTTCACCACCAGAGCAGAGTCATCGCTTGCATATGACGTCGGGTGAGTGGTTTTCCAACTTGTACACCAAGAAAAAAATACAATAAATCACTCTGCAAATACCGGAAAAATGGCCAACATTAAAATGTGGTCCAAATCAGAAATGTATTTGAATGAGATTAAAAGCAAAACCTTAAAAATTCCACCACTTACTGTGTGTGTGTGTGTGTGTGTGTGTGTGTGTGTGTGTGTGTGTGTGTGTGTGTGTGTGTGTGAGACCGTCCAGTTTCCCATCATGTGTAGCTACTAATGCAGGAAGTGGAAGTTGATGAGGTGTGTGTGCTCGTGTACGTGTGTGCATGTGCACGTAACTTTTACTTCTTCACACTTAAAATGGTTCCTGTTTTAGAGTCACTTCTTGTGTGCGAGTCACGTCCTGTACAAGCGTCTGTGCAAAGTTGGTTTCCACGCTCATTGCTGCCCCAAAAGTGACGCGAAGGCAACGCGATGGCCAAGAGTGTCAGCATCCAAATTCATGCCGAGAGCCTCCCAGTGAATGCTAATATTAGCGGCTAACTGATGGCCCCTGTTCGAATGTTGGTTGGTGAACACCACGTGCTAACGCTAGTGGCTAACCAATGGAATGCTTTGCTGGTAATGGATGACACATGCTAATAATGGTCGTGGCTATCCCAAGGCACCACTGCACACTGTATATAGATATTCATTTGGTCAAGATCTGCTCGGAAACCACAAGGCACGCGCGCGCACCCGTGTGTGCACGGGCTTTGTTTTGTTGGTCTGCAAATAGTCCGGCTGCGCTCGTGCTGAGGCCACCTGCCTCCATGTTGAAACGGCGCCATTATTAACATTAGCCCAGCGACTTAGATTGTCGTCATTAGTTTTGGGTCAGCGTGTTCACCGGGATCAAACTTAAGCCTGGCAGCTAATTATAATCAAGGGGGGGGGGCGGGTTCCAGATTTGACGCCGCACACACAAAGGAAGTGGATGTTAGACACAGGAAGTGGATGTTTGGCCCAATGGAACCCATCGCTCGATTTACTTCTCGAGGTAAATAATCATCTTCAAGCTTTCATGTCTGTTTAGGACTTCAAGAAGGGTCCACTAGAACAAAAACATGCAACTAGGAAATGATCGGCTGGTTGCGCTGGGCCAGAATGGTCCCGCGTGGCGTATTACACAAGTCCGGCCCACTTGTGGTCTCTCAAACCAAATGACTTTGACACCTGCTTGAAACCCAAAATGTCACCCTGACGGCCACTCTCCCAAACTTTTTGCAAGTAGTTGCGTCCGACACAAAAGGTGTGAGTGCGGCGCCCGCCACAGATGGTTCCGTTGATTGTTGTTGAGTCCCGGCCAGCAGCCGCACTTCTGCGGCGCCCCAAGCCACCTCCTCCTCCACGGACGTCTCCTGTGACCGGACAAAGGTCAGCCCTTAAGCGTCGGGAGACAGAACAAGCACTTTGAGACAAACGGCAAATGCAAGTCGTACAACTTGTACAAAGATGAGCAGGCTGTTATCCATCTTTTTTTTTTTTTTTTTTTTAAATCGTATCTATGATATCAGACAGGATGTTCAAATTAAGATTGTGTGACTAAATGCTTTTGAGCATGTCCACGCTTGATCACCGGGGGGAAGTTTGAGTCGTCGCGAAGCGTTTGTCATCGTTTTGTTTGCACGTGAAGTGGCAGGAAGTGAGCGGCCGGCCGCACGCGTCGCATCTTGTCCCGTCCCGTCGGTCGTTGACACGTCAGAGCGCGAAGACGGCAGGTGGCCGGGAGCTTCCCGCCGTCCCTCCGACCTCCACGTCCGCCTTGTTTTCCACACGTGGAGGTCACTGTGACAGGAAGCGGACGGCAGGATATCCAAATCTTTTTCCTGCCGCTGGCGTAAATTTAGATTGCAGCTGTCAAAGGTGGAAAATATTCAAGGCTGACGGGAGGCAAAGGAGTCGAGAGCCGCTCCGCCGCTTTGTGCTTCCTCGTCAGTGGCTCGTATTTACGCCGCAAAACAAATCCCGTTGAAATCGCCGGCCGCGTTCCGCGCGCGTGCACGCGCCCCGACTATCCCATTCCTTCATCTCTGTTCCATTGTATCCAGGTTGTGTACTCGGGGGTCAGAAGTTGTAACATGAAGCCAAATTCGATCCAGGTTTGATCCAATTGGAATTTAGCGATGCCACTGACCATGCGCGGGCACTTCCAATATGATTTGGACGCCATTTACCAATTGCCGCACGTACGCACTACGCAGGGCCAGAAGTGGAAACCTGAACTCAAATTCTGTCGAGATCTGATTTGAGCCAAATATGGATGATTGACCACCCGGATTTGCAATGAATGAATGTCGAATGTTGGTGTTTGAAAATTTTGTCTCTTCTCCAACCGATTCGTGTCTTTTTCCTTTTCTGTTATTTTTTTTTTTTGCCTTACGCGTTAGCATGCTAACGGTTAGCATGTTAGCTGACGATCATCATCTTCATCCGAGCTGGGCTTTCCCACACTTGACTTGACTTTTTCCACCCGTGCGCCACAGTTGTCCGAGCAGCTGCGAAGGGGTGGAAAAAGGGCGTGCCGGCCGATGACAGTAAGCACTTTAAAACCCGCGTCCGCTTTTAGCACCCGGTCGCCATGTGAAAGACGCCCAAAGTGTTTGGGTGCGTGTGGCAGGAAAGGGGCGGCCGGTGGGCAAGCAAGCAAGCAACACGACACCTGGTCGAGAGGCCGCCCGAATAACAACAGGGATGGCGGGAACGTTTCCCGTCATTGTCCGAGTCCTCCGCGTTCTCTGGACGGTGTTGTTCTCGTCGCCATGACGCAGCAGCTCGTCACAACGCTCACCCCAAGAACCGCCGGGGGCACAAACGAGGAAGTTCACGAGAGAGCCGTTGCCACGTTCAGTTAGCAGAATGAATTGGATAAACGAAGACCAGTGAGCAAGCCGCGAGCCTTTTTTTTTGCTCTCTTGTTTGTGCGTTCGTGATCAGCTGAGACGTGTGGCATCACAAGACGCTAATTATAGAGAGCGGGATTATTGCACAGGTGTGCCTTGGGCTGTCCGCAATAAACGGCCACTTTGGACTCGAGCGAGTTTGTTGCCATATTTCAACGAGTTTTCAACTAAGTCATGACAAACAGCATTATTCAGTTTTTTTTTTATTGAAAAAGAAAGCAAGATGTAACGAGACACAAATAATCATCACAACAACAACAACAACAAAAATAGTCATTTGCTATTATTTCTGGTAGAAAAGTGAAAGTTTGGAAGACTGCGAACACATTTCCACGCGACAAGTCAAATTTTCTTGTTTGTTTGCCTCGTTGGGAGTGAAGACAAAGAAGGAAAGACACGAAAAGCCGAAGTGTTTTTTGTACCGTTCGCAAAACAAAAGAACGAAACGCATTGATTCGATTGCTCGTTGATGAATATCAGTCCGAGTCGTCATTCCTAAAAAGTCTTTGGCACGCCGGCATCGAGCGTTGAAAAAGGAGGAGGACGACGACATGGCGGAGGAAGGAGCACGAGGAGAAAAGTGGGCTGAGGATTAAGTGAAGGAGGAAAAGCGGAGAAGATGGCGGACAGGAAGAAGAATAAGGAGGGAAAGAGGAAATAGAAGAGCAGGCGGAACAGGAGAGGAGAGAAATAAGAAGGAGACGGAAGAATGAGGAGGAGGCCAAGGTGAAAAAGTGGTGCAGCAGCAGCACATTGTACAAAAAAAAAAAAGGTCGGCCGAGGCCCGACACCAGCCGGCCAATGGCGTGACCGCTTGTACCGTCACTAGACGCGCCCCCTTGAATCGTCACACGTGCGGGGAAACCGGCACCGTGGCGGAATCGTCCCTTAGCGTCCCGCCAACCGGAACGGAACTGGCCTCCCGAAAGGGGCCCCGGCCGCCAGCCGGCGTTGGCGCGCTTCATATCTCCGACTCTCGCCTGAGCGACGCATCGGCGGTCCGATTGTGATCGTGCTCGGCGTCTTGCACCGCGTCGGGTCCCACGCTGCCGCCGTTGCCCTCGTCCGTGTCCTCCCGAGCGTCCATGGCCATCTCGTTCTCGTAGCAGAAGGATCCCGAGGCGGACATGATGTACTTGTTCTCCGCCAACTCGCGGGCGCTGCACTGCGGCGTGCCGGGCACCTCATAAGTGGCGTGGAAGCGCGAGTAGTCCACTTTGTAGTAGTTGTTCTCCTCGAAGAGCACGGGTTCGAAGCGATGCCCCCACAGGATCTCGCTGGCCAGATAGGAGCTGCGGCACTGCGTGGTCATGGCGGTGGCCTCCACCATGCCCTCCAGAATCACCACCACCTCAAAGTCGCAGGCGCGCAGGTCCTGCTTGGCCACGCCGTAGAAGGGACTGTCCTCGTCGATCACGTGCACCACGGTGATGGGCGAGATCAGGAAGATGCGGTCCACGCCGCTGTCGAAGCCCACGTCGATGTCCGTCTGGTCCAGGGGGATGTACTCGCCCTCGGCGGTGGTGCGGGAGCGCAGGAGCTGCGCCCGCACGTGTGCCTCCACCAGGTGACTCCGTCGCAGGTTGCCCACCCGCCACATCAGGCACAGCTTGTTGTCCCTCATGGCCACCGCGGCGTTGTGGCTGAACACCAGCGTCTCGTTCCTCTTCTTGGGTTTGGCCATCTTGGCCATGATGGCGCCGATGACGAAGGCGTCGATGACGCAGCCCACGATGCTCTGGAAGACCACGGCAAAGACGGCGGCCGGGCACTCGTCCGTCACGTAGCGGTAGCCGTAGCCGATCGTGGTCTGCGTCTCCACCGAGAACAGGAAGGCGGCCGTGAAGGTGCTGACGTTGGAGACGCACTTGTGACCGGCGTGGACCTCCAGGTCGCCGTGGAAGATGGCCAGGAGCCAGAAGACGCAGCCGAAGAAGAGCCACGAGAGCAGGAAGGCCGAGCAGAAGATGAGCAGCATCCAGCGCCAGCGCACGTCCACGCACGTGGTGAAGATGTCGGCCAGGTAGCGCAGACCCTTCTCGCTGACGTTGACGTAGCGAACGTTGCAGTGGCCGTCCTTCTTCACAAAGCGGCTCGCCCACCGCGGACACGTACGCGCTTTGCCGTAGCCGTTGGCCGGCTTGGCGCGCGCCTCCTCGGAGGACGCCGTACCGCCGTAGCGGCCCATGACCCGGGCCCACAGTCGCCGCTTGCGCAGGAAGCGTCGCAGGAACACTTTGGAAGCGCCTGAGGAACGACGCTCGCTCGGGAAATGATGCCGCCTGATCGCGCCGGGAGGCGGGAGTCACTGCTCCGTCGTGGGCGTCGTCTGCGAAGGAGGACAAGTCATTAGGAACGCGCCGCCACCTGCCGGCGGGGCCGATGTCCTTGCGGCGGGATGTTTCAGCGGTAAAGAAACAATATTGTAAAATCGCACTCTGTAATAATATTAAAACAGGACATGACATTTCTGAACAGAATGTCAATTTTTTTTTTTTTTTTGCTTCATTTCATTGGACATTGTGCTGCTCCTTTTGGTATATGCACCTTGGCCACCTGGGGGCAGTACAAGGCACTAAAATAAAGTGAACCGGCGCTTTTTTGGTGGGGCAGAGGTCGACCTGCAAACCATTTTCCCATCATTTATTTTTTTCCCCTCATCCGTCAGAGGTGTGAGCAGGAAGTCGAGGAAGCGGAGGACGAATGACTTGTTGACTGTTCAACCCTGGGAGGTTTCCTCAGGAGCCATTCGCTCGCCCGCTTGTCCCCGTGGAGCCACGCAACACTTGTTCATTAGGCGCCGTCGTCACGGCGACCTGGACAAATCACCGCCGCTCCGCCAAACTTCAATCGAGCTTCCTTTCAAGCTTCCTCCACATGTCGAAAGTGGTTGGAACCATTTTTTTTTTTTTTTTTTTTTGAACCAGTTTATCAAAGAGCTGGAATGCCATTTGAGCTTTTTTTCCATAGTATTGATATCCGACTGAATGCTTTTCCTACAAAACTAGTTTTACTAACGAGTGAAACACTTTAGTTAAAAAAATAAAATAAAAATCACTTGTCGGTGCCCTCCCGTGGCTATCGGTGATCTACAATAAATAAAAAAAAAAAATTGTTGCATCCTTGTCCAGCTTAAGGTCAATGCACTAGTAAAACAATGAGTCTTAGGTGTGACTTTTTCTTAACTAGTTCATGGACCTTAAGTGCGACATTAAGGATATGGAATACATTTTGCATTTCTTTGACAGCTACTTGCACTACTAGTGACATTATGCAATTAAGGACTTGTCGCTAGTTGTAGTTTTGGTATGATGCAGCAGAAATGTCACACAGTGTTGGAAGGCGGTTGTTGGGGGGGGGGTCGTTACTAGTGCCCCCTGCATGTTTGTTACTAGTCAAGCCACCCCTTTCCTATTTACAGTGCAAATCTTGCCGACGCGCGTTCTAGTAGCCGCATCTTGTTCATGCCCAGCTACACGTGTGCGCGTGCGTCTCGATGCGGCACACATGCCGGCGACAAATGTTGACAACAGGTGCACGCACGCTGGCGAAAAGCGGGGGGGGGGACTCACGGTGCTGGAGTTGGATGGAAAACTTTGCTGGTGCACGTCAAAGCCGGCGAACTTGACCCAGGTCGTCTTTGTTGTTGTTGTTGTTGTTGCTGCGAGGCTTCCGCTTCGGTACCAGTTGCTCTTGCTCACCGCTCGGAGGTAAAAAATCCGCTCGGTCCAGCCGTGCGCTTGTCATACGGGAACCGCATGAGTGTGCGTGAGCGCGCGCGCACGCGTCTGTGTGTGCGCGTGTGTTTGTGTGTATGTGTGTGTGCGTGTGCGGCGGCTTTTGCTGTGCCTCGCGGGTCCGTCCCGAAGCGTTTTAAACGCGAGGCACGGACTGGGCACGCCCCCGCCCCCAACCCCGAGACCCCCACCCCACCCGTCGCCGTCTCGCGCGCTCCTGATGATACGGTCGGCGCGTGCATGCGTGCGTTCACCAAAATTAATAAGAACAACCAACAACTTTTTCTACTTCCTACGTGTGGATATTTGCAAAATATCACCACGTAGGGACTGCGTGCACTCGTGTGTGTGTGTGTGTGTCTGTGTGTGTTGGTGTTTGTGTGTGTGTGTGTGTGAGCTTTAATGAACTGCGTTGAGGTTCCTTGTCGACTATAGTGTACATTTACCTCGAACGAATGTGCACCTTATCGCTTGTGTTTGTGTGTGCGTACCGTAGCCACACGGGGGCGCAGTAGAGAGAATGGAGTTTGCAGGTGGTTGATCCTCAAGTGAAACAAGTGCATTCTCCCTTTTACACGCTCACGCATACTTGCACATTTGCATGAACACGCACACAAACACACGCACGCGCACACAAATACGTTGCATTTTATTCAGTGTCAGCAAAAATCTTAAAACTCTCATTTTGATCATTGGGGAAAAAAAAATCCAGACGTACTCTTGATGAGACAGTGTTCGAACAGAGAAGGTTGTCATCGAAAGAGCTAGTCGTAGTTTTCTAGTGGAAGGTTAGAATACTGTACAAGGTTATGTAGGAAGGTTCTAGGAAAAATCTTCTCGAGGGCTCGAAAAATATCCTTGAGAGTCGTCGACGTGCTGGTCGCTAACTTGTTTTCTTCTTTGTTGGCAAGTTTGCATCTTGTCACGCTTACATTTTAGTACTACGTTTCCGCACGTGCGGCATCAGCTAGCGTGTCGTGTCGGAGGTGGGCGTCCGGCAGCGGCAGCATCACTTTTGCGGGGCTCGGGAACTTGTCGGGGCGCGGCGAGGGTCTCGGCGAGGGCCGCGGCCACCTCTTGAGCTGGTACGCCTCGGCGCTGATTTCGGGCGCCAGGACCTTGGCGGTCTGGTTGAAGAGCACGTAGTCGACGGTGTAGCGCCTTCTGCCGGCCCGGATCATCTCCTGGAAGACGTGACCCCACAGGATGTCGTCCTGCGTGTAGGAGGTCCGCGTTTGGTGCAGAGTGCCGGTGCTGTCGTCCGTGTACGTGAAGGACACCACCACCTCCAGGTCGGAGCGCTGCAGATCTGCCCGGCTCATCCCGTAGAGCGGGCTGCCTTCCTGGATGCGGTGGCAGATGGTGGTGGGGGTCACCAGAACAATGTCGGGCTGCTGGATGACCAGGTCCCGATAGGTCACGTCCGCCCTGCCGGTGGCGTGGGTGTCGGCGCATACGATCTGAGCGCGCGCCGTCCCTTCCACCAGGTGATTGCGCCGGAAGTCGCCCACGCGCCAGGAGAGGCACAGGTGGCCGTCGCGGAGGTTGACCACGGCGCAGTTGCTGAAGCCCACCGTCTGCGCCCGCTTCCTGGCGGACGCCATCTTGGCCACGGCGATGCCGATGACAAACGTGTCGATGAAGCAGCTCACGACGTCCTGGACGGTCACCACGGCGATGGCCACGGCGCAGTTTTCCGACATCCCCCTGGAGCCGTAGCCGATGGTGGTCTGGGTCTCCAGGGAGAAGAGGAAGGCGGCGGTGAAGCTGCGCACCTCGTAGACGCAGGGCGCCGTCCTGTGATCGTGAACGTCGCCGTGAGCCAGCGCGATGACCCAGAAGAGAATCCCGAAAAAGAGCCAGGACAGGATGTAGGACAGCGCGAAGATGAGCAGCATCACCCTCCAGCGGATCTCCACCAAGGTGGTGAAGATGTCGGTGACAAACAGCAGCCACTCCTCGGGAAGGTGGCGGAAAACCACATTGCAGGTGCCCTCTCTGCGCACGTAGCGTTGCTTGCGGCTCACGGAAATCTTCACCGCCGTCGTGCCGTCGTCGCGCTCAACGCTCTGGTAGGACATCTGCATCCTGCCGGCTGGCAAGCGTACAAACATTTGTACTTCGTACACTTTATGTTTGTACGACACAATTTGTAGAGTAGTCTATATTTGTATGACAATACGTGCCTTTCCAAAACACGGGTTACGAGGACACCTCGTACTGGATTACCCCTCGCTAGGGGGGGGGCTTGTGTGTATGTTTTTGCGCCAGGATGTGATTCTGTTTTCTCCACACAGCGGCGGGCGGCGTGTCTCTGAGGCGTGTTTTGACCTCAAAGCCGCCGCCGCCGCCGTTTGTGTCCAAAACAGACGCTGACCTTCCCCCTCGCAAACTTTCCACTGCGTTCGATGTTCTCCGCAATGCCGGGCATCGCGTGATTCCCTCAATTACGACGCCATTACACGCTCACTTGCTGCAAGTACCCGCCCGGGGGCGTTATTATTATTATTTTTTTTTCGTTGATGATTCTTCTCAAAGGCTCCAGTAGGAGGTCCCGCTATCCTTGACTGAGTATGACACGGGCTACGAGTTAGCCTGCGGCCACTTTCCGCGACGACCTACAAATGTTTCGTGCAAGCAGCAACGATTACAAAACATCGTTTACGACGCTGGTCACCTCGCGCTCCGCCGGGCACGCCGGCCGTTAGCATGCTATTAGTACACCGTTAGCGAGAGGTCGCCGTGACAACGGTGGTCAACGTGTGCTCAGGGATGTGTTTTTAGGACGTCAAGTCACCGACGAACACAAATCTCGACCGGGCTAGCAAGACGAGGAGGTTCAAGCATCGTGCTTGTGGAAGTTTTCTCGTAGAAAATCCTGGTAAAAGGTTCTAGCAGAGCGATCTGGTAGAACATGATCGGAATATGTCCATTTGTTTTAGGCAAAATTTACAAGTAGAAGTTTTCTCATAAAAAGGTTCTGGTGTAGCATTCTATTAGGTTTTGGAAGTTCGGTGGAAAGTGGAACGACTAGTTTTCTAGTGGCCGTCGAAGGTTGAGGAGTCATTAAGGTCTAGGCGGACATTTGGTGAACATTTGCGACCTTGAGCGAACCCTGACGAGAACGCAAAATTGGCTAGCTTTGAAAAAAACTCGGTTGGAGGCTGGCTCGGGAGGTTCTAGTTTAAGTTTTCGACTAGAAGCCGTTCGAGCGCGATTTTTTTTTTCGTTGATGATTCTTCTCAAAGGCTCCAGTAGGAGGTCCCACTGTTAAGTTTTGAGGTCAAATCTTAAAAGTCGGCGGCGGCTTTCGATGATAAAATCAAAAAGAAGAAGAAGAAGATGGAGGACGAGAGCTACCTGAGCTTTGCGCGTGCCTCCGCAGGCGTGCTGGAATGAAGCAGAAAACACCTGTCATGGCAAAACACAGTCGCACGACACCTCCCAAAATACAGGTGACCTGGCCACGCCCCTCAACAGGAAGCCTGCCTCGGGGACACGCCATCGCCAGCTTTTCAAAATAAACCTCAAAGCGAATTCGGACTCGTGTGTCGCGAAAAACTGGCCTGGCGCAACCGAGTCGCGGAGTGGGCATGTTGACGCCCTCGCGCCTTCAAACGGGCAACGCAAGCCACCGCGCACGCCACAGCCATACGGCTTACCCGTCTTTTGCTTCGCTTCTTCTCTTCTTGTCTCGTCTCTCGCGTTTCAAACGTGTCGTCCCGTCATGGTCCTTTGGGTCGGGAAAGTCATTCCGCCGAAAGGTTGGAATGACTTCCCCGGGGTCTTCCGGGCGTTCGTGCTTGCTAGTGCAGCGGCGTTGGTGCAGACTGATGTTAAGGTGGTCGTTCAAGCGGACAGTCCACGTGCGGTCAAAGTCTGACCGGACTGTGTAAATCATTCGGTGACCATTTTGAATATTGCTTTTTTTCTCACTTTTTTCAACATTTATTCAATCATTGGTGAATCAATTATGACTCATTTCGTAAAGTCCAAAATACATATCATTCCTGATTAGAATAATTCCACAAACATATTTTTTTTTTGTGAGGGAGGGGATAACTGGCTAATCCATTATTTTTTAAATGATCAAATATTTCATGAGAAAATCATTTTACATAGTATTCATTTTTCGATTTTAATCAATTTTATCAAATAATTGGCTGCCAATTCCAATTCATTCCAAATAAAGCAAATACAAAAGAGAACAAATTCTTTTTATGAAAAGAGCACAATTTTATAATAAAAACATGTCTGTTATTTTTATTAGTTTTTATATTTATAGACAGCACTTTTTTTAGCCTGCGGTTATTTTTTTGAACACTTGATGAAGTTATCCAAAATCAATAAAGCACATGACTGTTTTTTTTTCTCCCATGATGCATTGGGGCCAAAACTGATGCCCACCTCCCATCTGCTTCCATGAAAATGCGTTAGTGTGTGTGTGTGTGTGTGTGTGTGTGTGCGTGCGCGAGTGCGCGCATGTCGCTGATTATATTGTTACAATAGTCCCGCTATTCCAGCCGCCTGTAACATTTTCCGATGCTCTAATATTTTCCATGATATTTTCCCAGCGTAGCTGCAGGCGCTGTCATCACTTTGCGTTCCCCAACATTCCGCCGCTGCCGCCGCCGCCTTTTAACGGGCTTCTTAACCTTTTCACACACACGCGCGCAGACTTGCGCACGTTATGAACGCAGGCTTTTACAAGGAGCATTAGCACACTAGCGCCTGCTAGTTAGCGTCCCGCGATGCCCCCCGCGGTGGGCCAAACTCTGGTTGCGGCGTGCAAAGGTCACGCTGACCATGAAGCAGTGACGCAGACCATGCTGGCGCCGCTGGCCGTTTCGTTCTGCCTGCGCGTACGTGTGCACTTGACTGCTGTCACGTGGACCTCGGTGCTACGTACGAGTGCTGCAACTGACGATTTATTTTATTTTTTTCAAATTACGAAGCCTCGCTTGGTTGATATATGGACACTGTGCTGCTCCTTCTGGTGTGAGCAACTTGGCAACCTGTGGGCAGTAGCAGACAGACATGCAGATATATCTAGACAAGCTCGTTAGTACGGCAGTGATACTTGTATTGTGACGTCTGTCTACTTGTGTTGCTGCACAATTTTGTTCGAATTGGAGTTGCAATTGATTAATCGGCAACTAACGGATCATCAAATTAATGCACAAGTATTTTGAGACCTTGTTGAACTCGAAATCGTCCAAATGCTCGGATTTTAAGCCTCTTCATCAAAATAAGGCGACATGCAGATATATCTAGACAAGCTCGTTAGTACGGCAGTGATACTTGTATTGTGACGTCTGTCTACTTGTGTTGCTGCACAATTTTGTTCGAATTGGAGTCGCAATTGATTAATCGGCAACTAACGGATGATCAAATTAATGCATAAGTATTTTGAGACCTTGTTGAACTCGGAATCGTCCAAATGCTCAGATTTTAAGCCTCTTCATCAAAATAAGGCGACGGCTAACATCTGCTTTGACGGGCGACCTGCGATTCCCCTCGTTAGCGGAGCACCTGAAGGCTGGCTAGTGCGTTCTGCGGCTCTTATTATTTGCAGCTGCCGTGTACGCGCGCGCCTGCATGCGTGTGCGCTCTTTGGCGGGCAACGCGACGCGTGGCGTGGCTGAATGTTGGCGCTGAAGGACGTGTCCCGCAGTTTTTGTGGCAACCGGCCAATCCAAACGCTCCGTGAGACTTAGAAGCCTGGAAGCCGAGGATCACGGCAGTTCTGACTCGTAGCGTGTCGCTAACATGTCAAAAAGGCCTGTGCGTCAAACGACACGTGTCGTATCTCTTCCCGTCGGCTCGCTTCCTAAATCACAAGTGAAGAAGAGGAATGTGGACGACCTGCGTGTGTGTGTTGTGGCAGTTGGGTGGATCCACACATGGACCACACGTGTGCCGGTGTCACAACAATAACAGCAGCAGCAGCGCCGCCACATGCACACGGCATGACCGTGACATTTTGAGACCCGGCGGCCCGCCGTGCGGCGCTGATGGACTCCAGATGCGAGCGAGGGCCGCGCATGTCCCGGTCGGTCCTCTGGCAGCCACCAGACCACCTGCGACCACCTGTGTGTGCATCGTGTGTGTGTGTGTGTGTGTGTGTGTGTGTGTCTCATGCGTGCCATGTTGCGTCCCGCTAACGTGCTAGCTGCTCATTACAAGCCGAGCGCGTAAATGCTACAAAGTGGAATGAAAGTGCCACTTTTGTTTATTTGGCAACTGTTTGTTCACTTGTTTACCAGCTAACAAACTAGCTTCTTCCGCTCAACAATAAACATCTCATTAGCATCTTCCTGTGTGTGTGTGTGTTTGTGTGTGTGTTGTAAAAGTGTGCGTGCACATACAGTAGCCTCCGTGTGTATGTTGAAAGAATGCGCAAGTGAATTTTTTTTTTTTTGTTATTGACGAGCCTATTTCCCATCACTTTGTACACCTGCGTGATGAAAGTCCCGAGTTTAACCGTCCGCTGGGAGTGTTTATGTATTTGTATTTTATGACCCTCGTTATGATTTTACTACGGCCGTGTGGAAGCCAGTTTGCCGCAGATGCAAATCAGGCGGCAGACGGCACGTCCAAGTGCTTCATAAAACGCAGAAATGCCCGTCCAGTTCCCAATGGAAAAAAAAAATGTCGGGCATTGCGGTGGAGCCAACGTTGCGCCAACTTCTGGACGCTCGCATTCGCGCCGCTACCGCCGAGTACGGCCAAGTAACGCCGAGTCCCGCCAAGTCCCGTCTGTGATCGAGTGCAGCCAAAAGCGCTTCCTCTGTCGTTTCGAGCGCACGGCAACCCGTCGCTGACACGCTCGCCTTGCCTCAAATTCATTTGCAAATAAATGTTTCAAATAAAATTTGTCGTTAAAATAAACGGCCAATGCGTCACGTTGTTCGGAATGAATCGCGAAGAAAATCAAAACGAGTCGCAGCTCGTGACCAGAGTGGAAAAGTTGTTTTCCTGTCAGGGAGGAAAAAGATCGGCCAAAAGGAGTGCAGACTTTGCGGAAAAAACTAGGTTAATAAAACTGCAGGAACGGCGAGTGCGGGTGGTGGTACGCGTGGTGAGCAAAGAGCCAAGGTCGGGCGGGCTCTCGCCACTCCGTGTTTTCTCGACAAACATGGAGCAGTCGGATTGCCTGCGTGAGGGCTGCTACGGAATCGCCAGTCCTCCCGTCACTGATCCCGTTCTGTCTTTTTCTCTCGTAAACAAGACCCAGAATTTCCACCGAGGGTGTCGGGCCGGTCCGCCGTCCCACGAAACATAGAAACGCCGAATCCCGACCGCCGCCTGACCTCCTTTCGACCCCGCGAGCATGTTGACGATCTTCACCGTGCGGCTTTGCGATTGAAGGAGTGCAGGTCGTGTCCGCTGTTGCACTTGCGTGCGGGCGTGTGCTCGGTCAATTCCGAAACACGTTGCCTCTGCGAGAACTGTCAAGCGGTGCGTGTGTGCGCCGCGCCGTGTGTGTTGAATTAGGGCGGCGGTGAGTCAGGAGCCCCTCAGATGTCTGACATGCGGCTTCCGACCATTCCGGCCTTAAACGGTTTTCCGTGTGTCTGCGCTCTAAACTTGGCTCCGTTTGGTGTGTCCACTTCATGTCAATGTGTGTTTGACACACACACATACACACACACACACACACACACACACACACACACACACACACACACACACACACACACACACACACACACGTTGTGATGAATGCGAAGAGTAATCGCCGGTGTTTAGATTCCCTGGCTGCGGATGTCGTCACGGTGATCCCGTGGCGTGGCGTCGTGTGAGTATGTGTGTGTGTGTGTGTGTGTGGGGGTGCGCGCCGCAGTGCGATTGTTGTGATCCGTCACAGCCGAGTGCCGTTTCTCGCTCACGGCCCATAAAAATAGTTGAGCGATGCGATCAAGATGAGTGGGAAAAGGGAAGCGGAATCCACTTTGGCGTGACCCCGTCACGGTTGCCGCCACAATTGCTGTCATGAAAGGAGACTCGTCTTCTACTCTACCGCCGTTCTCCTCTCCGCTACGGGCGGGCGTCGCAGCTCTCGGCGTATACATTGTGGAGCTGCGCGTGAGTAACACGGTCGGCTCAGTAGAGGGCGCGGGTGGTCCTCCTCCTCTTTTCTTTTCTTCAAGGAATGTCGCACTCGCGTCGCGGAAACTCGCCACGCCGATTCCCAGGCCGCAAGTCGGCGCGGCGGCGCGCTGCATCCTGGGAAATGGGCCGCGCTCCATTGTCCGTGCCGGTGACTGTGTTCCTGTACGCCGTGACCTGAATCGGGGGGGGGGAGCCGAGAGGCGTGTGCCCCATTTGCCTTTTACCACTGATTGTCTATTAGTTCCGAGATGGAAGTTGTTGGGACGTGAGTGAGCAGGTGTGGTGTGCCGTTCCCACACAGGTTTTTACTGCACGTTTATTGATTGAGGAGTGATTTTATGTGTGTGTGTGTGTACACACAATAGTCATGGAGGTGTGATGCCCTTGTGCATGATTCCG